TGTGCAAGCTTGAGTTCCATTCCAGTACGTAGCACTAATTCTTCCATTGATGAGGCTGTACAGAGTTGCAGAACAATGACGTAAGATGTCAGGCAGAGTTGTCATGTCCATGAGCAGCTATTCTCCTTTCCATTTCTAAACTTGTGAGGAATTAGCCCAGCTCTGTCTTGAGATTGTCTTGTGCCCCTATCCTGGACAAGCCTATCCATCAGTGCCTTATTCTGATGGGTACATAAACTGACAATAATACTGTATGGATATGTACTTCATGCTAATCACCTGAGTTCTTGTGGTGCCTGGATCCTTGTTTGTGCTTTCTTACAGTAGTTGTGTCAGTAGAGATGCACAGTTAGCAATTTAATTACATTTCTGAAGAATGGGGATCTGGGAGCATCGCAAAGCATTTACTCAAAAGGGTAAATATTAAGGATTAATTTGCAATAAAAGCAGAAGAATAGGGAAAGTCATAGAAGTCTAAACGTATTAAATTCTTGAGGTCTGCCTCGGTCTGAAATTGAAGATGTAAGTCAAAGAATATTACTAGAGATGAATATTTCACACAGTTCAAGACAAATATCACAAGCCAAGGTGAAGCTGAGGTGTAGCCGGTAACCTTGATTTCTCATCAAGGCTGATGAGAAATCATTATGAACACTGTATTAATATAAAGAGGGCCAAAGAATGGGAAGTGCCCTTTGTGCAGAAGGAATGTAGCAAGCAGAAAACTGAAGAAACAGGTATTTAAAACCTGTGTACCGAAGGTCAAAGCCATGTAGCTGGTTAGCTCAGCTGTCACAGCAATGACAAGGAAAAAGGAGGAGTTTAAATAAGGCTTTGTAACCATTCTGTTTTACAATTTTTATTAAAATGTGATCATCTTCATCACTTTATGAACTCTTCTATTGTATATTTACACAACTCTCTGAAAGAGTCTCAGATTTGCTTTTGAGAAGCTATGGAGTGCAAGTAGGGCACCAGACAACTGTTAAAAAAGCAAATTAAAAGGGTTATTTTTTAAAGTGCCTTCAAAATGAGAGTGGGTCAAAAGGGGAAAATTAAACCCCTGTTTTCCAACTCTCAATTCCTAGAAAACGCAGGACCAGATAATTCAGTACACTATTTCTAAGCATCTGGATGATAACAAGAAGATGCATAGCAGACTGCATAGATTTGACAGAAGAAATCATATAAAGCCAGACTGCATAGATTTGACAGAAGAAATCATATAAAGCCAAACTATTTATAAGAAGCAATCCTGCTGCTGTAATCAGCAGTGGGTAGGTATAAGCAAGGTATTCTAGGCTTCAGAGCACTGATGATGAAGAATCAGGAAGGACTGATTTGAAAGGTGGAAAAGAATAGTAGAGAAGTGAAGGGAGATCTCAAAACCATGGCATAAAATTGAAAGAACAGGGTAAAAATATGGTTTAAAAAAAAAAAAATTATAGGGAGGAAATGTTTGATGGGAATCAAATAGCTTCTAATATGGAAAAAAAAAAATGGAACAAAGGGAGACAGCAATTTGTTTTTCATGTTTACAGTGATGAGGATGCACTATAAGAAATTACAAGCTTAAACTGCAATAAGAAAAACTAATTTCAAGTATCGAAAACATGTCCTAAAGTTAGAAAGTAAAGTCACTGACATAGATTAAGTGTGCAGTTTCCATCACTGACAGACTCTGCTGACGGTCTGAGAATGGATTTAGATCGACATATGCCAGGATTGACAAGTTAAAGCTGGTTTTGCTTGTGGGCTGTGGGATGGCTGGATGTTCCCTTGAGATTTTCTCCAGCAAGAAATTTTTACATCGTTTTTATCGTCTGCAAGGGCCAGCCACATCATTATATTTGCATGAGCTTCAGGCATTAGCGCCTTTCATTTGCAGGAGGGGGGTCAAGCACTTTTGAGACATTTTCCAGGGTGCACATTTCTTTCAATTTCTTAATAATTTCTCAGCACATCTCCTCTGTTCCATTAAGATGTACGTATAAACTTTTCTTCCAATGCAGCTCTTGGCATCCCAGATTCCAGCACCCTTTTACATATTTTATGTATTCTCTCCCTTTTTCCACTCTCCATCATTTTCCACATGTGTTTATGACCATCACTAAATACTGGATGTGTACATTGCCAGTGACAGCGTCTCCCCTACTATCCCTCTGTAGACTCCACCAACTAGCCAGCTTTAATATTGGAAAAATCTGTCTTTCTGAACACTTGGAAAATATATCGTATGTTGAATTTTGAAATTGAGAAGACACTTTTTTTTTTTTTTTTTACTAATAACAGCGATATTTCTTAACAGTACAATGATGAGAAGAGTTGTAACTCGGAGTTTCTATGATCTTAGCTTAAAATGATGTAACTATTACCATTAGCATGATTCTCTTATCGCTACTGCAGAACTGGATTCCCTGTCATATCTTTAAAGACACCATTGTTAGGCACATCAGTATGTAACAACGCAGATATACTTGCTGTGAGAAATGCACTTAGATTTGAAGTACAGGAAAGAATAACTCTCAAGATAGAAAAATTAGATCTTTGAAGAGTAGTGAAATTATTAAGAAGAAAACTTCTTAGTTCTGCATCTTCAAAATGCCATTTCAATCAAGCATCATTTCTTGTGCGCTCAAAGAAATGGAATTACCAACTTGTGTTAAGTCCTTGATCAGAATGAGGCTCTTAAACCAATTATGTGAAGATCAGAGTGCTTAAAATTATAAGGAATACATTTAGAATTATTAAAGGCTCCAAATAGCTTGGTTCAGGCAAAATTACGTATAATTGATCATTTAGTATGTGTTGTCAGGAGAAGCTGCAGTCATAGGTGTGGAAGAGCACTTTTCAGACAAATCACAACTAAACTTTTGCAAAACCCAAACTGTATCAGAGCTTCCTCTTCTAAGAAATTTTACTGAACATAAATCCCAACCACTTTTATCCCCGTTCTACAGAAAGATCTACAGAAAGATGAGTTGAAGTACTGAATAACATTGCCCTAGCTGATAAATGCAGATGAAGGAAAACCAAAATGGATTACCTGGATTGCTAGGTGAATGAAGGCACGAAATAAGGAGTTGGGATCTTCTTCAAAAGTTTTAATAGTTTAAAAAAAAAAAGAAAAAAAGAAGAGAATGAGAGGATAAATCATCAGGACTAAAGAAATCTTTGCCAAAGGGCAAAGGGACTTACAGGAAATTAACATGAAGATTGACAAACACAAACTGGATTGTCAGAAAATGATTGTATAAGGGACTGACTCTATAACCCCCCTGAGAACAACATGACCATTTTATTGATTCTTATTTAGCCTCTGTCCAGTCCTTCCATCCCTTTGCTTTGAATTTTATGATTCATTTATTAGAAAATATAATATTATTCTGGGTAGGTTGCATTTTCAGTCAGGCACATAAATCCTAATCTTGCAGTCATCCTCTGCATCTCTCTGGTGATAAGATTCTCATTGATTTCAGTGATACAGGTTTAGGAACAGAACGGTAAGTATTACGTAGTGTAAGATGCAGACTAGTGGATTCAATTCATACTTCAGATTAGGACCAAACTAAAAACTTGGTAGGATCAATCACAATCTCATATTCACATCTCTTCACATAAAGTGGCATTATTTCTGCTCATCAAATCTAAGAATGTCTTGATGGACCTGGACATAGTTTCAGGTCTGAAAGTAGCTGCTTTTACTGTGAAGGATACTTTCAGATGCTGTGCTAGTAGTGCTGTATTCTGGTCATGTACCTCTAGCAGCCTTGACATGCACCCAGTCTCTTACACATCCCATCAGCAGGACCAGGAGAGAATGGGGATACACAGGGATGAGACATTTCCTGGATTAAAGCAAAGTCAGGGAGACTGCTTGCCAATTGCTCCTGCAGACAAAAAAAGGCCTGAACAAAAATAATTTGCTGCTAGTTAAAAATGTTAATTGCTAATGTGGATAGTGAGAAACAAGAAGATAAATATTGGTAAGGACGTTTCTTCCTTCTCTGAGCTAGGCTCCACTTCATTGGAAACAAAGCAATGTATGCCCCAACCAGCAGAATGGGAACGGAGGGCAGTGCAGTCAGTCATGGTTTCTCCCCGTGGTTCCTTCTCACACAGATCCAGCATGGCTTCTCCAAGGGCCACTGTTCTCTAAGAAGATGTACTCTACCACGGGTTCTCCACAGGCCACAGTTGGATGTGACCTTTGCCATCTGTGGGCTGCAGCGAGCATCACGGGGTGCCTCTTCCCTTCTCTGCCCTCGCATTCACTCCTTCCTCGCTCTGTTTTTTCGGTACTATCCATGTGCTCCCAGAGGCCCCACCAGCCTGGCAGTTGGCTCAGTGCTGGGATGTGGGAAGGCCCAGACGCCCAGATATTGATGCAGAACCCATTGCTGATGTGAGGAGAGGAGCTCTGCTCAGACCTGGGAATAGAACAGATGCGGGAAAGGCAGTGAAATAGGTCAACGGGCTGCAGATTGAACTCGAAATTAAACACGGAGCGAGCCACGCCGCGGAGGGAACTGAACTAGTTATGCAGCTGGCTGATTTCTAAATTAGGTGTAACTAGTTGGGGAAGAAAAAGAGATGTCCCTGCAGCCCGAGTGATGGCTGCAGTGCGAAGTCCGCCCGGGCAGGGAAGAACGCACAGAGGATGACAACAGGGACAACGCGGGCAGCGCTCAGAGGCGACTGGCGAGCCCCAACCACGGGAAGCCGTTATCCCGAAATCACTTCAAGCTTATCGAGACCGCGGCCGTCCAAGGACTGTCGCAGGCTTAATTTGGGAAGCGAGGCACCGGCGCAGCTGGAGAAAACTTCCAGCGGCGCAAAGCTAGAGACGCCGACGGAGGGCAGGGGCCGGGCCCCCCTCAGGACCCCCCTCGGAGCCGGGAGCCGCGCCGCTCCGCGCCCTCCCGCAGACCGTTAGCCCAGGCGCGGGGCGGGGAGGCGCGGGGCGGGGCCGGAGGCGGGCGGAGCGCGTGGCGCGGCGCGGCGCGGGGCTGCAGACGGCGGCGCGGGCAGGGAGCGGGGCCGCCTTTCCGGCCGCGGCGAGGAGCGCAGTTGCGGGGCTTGCGGCAAGGTGACGGGCTGGGCGGCTGCCGCGGCCTCTCCCTCCGTCTCTCCCGCTTCCCGGCCGTTCGGGCTCCCTTTCCCCGCTTCCCCTCCCGCATCTCTGCCCCTCTCGGGTGGGCGCGCCGTTCCCGTCCCCCGCCGGCCGCCCGCGGGTGGCTAACCGACCGCTCCTCGTGTCTCCTCTCGCCCAGATGCTGAAGGCGGCGGCCCTGGTGTGCGTGTGCGCGGCAGCCTGGTGCAGCCCGGCGCTGGCGGCGGCGGCGGCGGCCGGAGGCAGAGCGGACAACGGCAATTTTCTGGACGATAAACAATGGCTCACCACCATCTCCCAGTACGACAAGGAGGTCGGGCAGTGGAACAAATTCCGAGACGTAAGTCCTGCCTTCGCCGCGGCCCGAGGGCGGCGGCGAGGGCTGGGGGCGACCGCAACTTTCTCCCCCCTACCTCCTCCCCAGTCCCCAGCGTTATTTTTGCGCCGGTGATGCCCGGGCACGGCGGCGGTAGGGGGGAGCCCTGGCCGCGCAGCTCCCGGTGCGCCGCCGCTGCTGAGCGGGATGCGCCGTGCGGGGCGCCGCACTCGGAACGGGGCTGCGTGCTGCGTTCGCCGCGTCCCCCGCCCCGTGCCGGGCCGCTCCCCTCCCGGGCGGCGCTGACGCGAACCCCCCTCGCCGCCGTGCTCACCTTGCAGAGGAGCGCAGAGCCCCGCGGGAGACCCGGGAGTGTGAGAGCGGCGAGGTCCGCCGAGCGACTTGCGGGAATCGGTGTCCGGAGCGTGCGTGTGGAGCCTCTGTGACCCGGTGCTCATCGGTTACGAAAGCCGGAGCCTGCAGGTGGCCTTCGTCCTTCAGGGTGCCTGGCTGCCGTGCGTGGTTTGTGGCGAGTTTAATTAAAATGGAACGGATTTTCAAAAGTCCGTTTCGCTTCTTATCGTGAAAAACGTTTTCACTTCGTCTTCCAGTGCTCTGCGCTCCGGCGTGTCCGCTTTGGATATCTGAATTCCAAGCGGGAGAAGTAATTTTCTTCTCAGCCTCCCCGTGTGGCTTATTGGGATCCTTGGGTTTGGTTTGCAACTTCTGTGTCAACAGGTTTCTCGTGCTGCGGCTGCCGGTGGCCGCTGTTTGCTGCAGGGAACTGAAGGCAGCGGCACCGAGTAGCAGCATCTCTGCTCGCAGAGCTGGAAGACGCTCGTGGTGTTCCTACAGCTCTGTGCGTGTCCCACGTGTGGGATGCAAACTTGGCTGTTTGTGTTAAGTAAGCAGGGAAGAAGAGTTCCTGTCGGAGTTGTGGGAGATCCATTTCCACAGTAGTTCCCATTAGACAGAATAATGTCAGTGTTTGGGAAGACTCACGCTGGTGGTGTGATATTTCTGTTTGCGTGGAGTAGGTTAAGATCTAAAAACGCATGTGAAAAGTGGTCAGCAGAACATTACTTCGGGACCATCGTTTTTGGAAAGAAAGAAAGAAAAACCACGCAGCATGCAGTGCTACCTAAATATTTTAGGATGAAACGCTGCTGCTGAAAAGCACCAAAATAAGTGCATGAGTTACGTTTTATAATTGGGCGAAGTCATTTATGCAAGGACTGACCTGCAAGGCTGAAGAAGCTAAGTGCTGTCTAATGCCTGTCTCCCGGGCCCCCGCTGACATACACTGTAATGCTGGATATTAGCCAGATAATTTATTCTGTGACAAGTAGGTGTCCCCAAGGGCTTTTGGGAGTGACTGCTCTGAGAAAGTGCTGCATACTGATTCTTGGGAAGCCACTTACAAATAGGCTGCCTTATTTATTTCTGCGCTGTGGAAGTTTTGTTAGGCTGGTACTTCAGAGAGGAGTCAGCTTGTGCTTCTTGCTCAGAATGCTTATATCCCTTCGATTACTACTTGAAATGGAATATTTACAGATGATCCTCATGCTCCACCAGGTGATCCCTTATTACAGCATGGATGATTTTCAGTCATTCATAGCTGTAAAAAAAATAAATGAAAATTATGAGTTAATCTGCCTGCACAAGCATTCGCTCCAGGAGAAATACATTTCAAGATGTGCCGATCAATTATCATCTTGTAAATAGAAGATGGTGGAGGCGTTTTATTAACGTTCTGTAGTTTAGATAGTTAGTAAATCTTCGTGTATGACTGTAATTTGTTGGTTTTGAATTCATGGGGAAATAGCTGCCTTGCAGAGTTGCAACAAATGTATGCCAGGCCCGTGTCTGTAATTTATTCTCTGTTCGCTGAACAGGGTGTTTTGTGGGCTTTAAGTACCCTGCGGATGCATGGGTGAGATGGAATTCTGGTGTGAAAAGAAGTGTTTAACGGCTTAACTTCAGACTTAGCTGACAAGACTGATTAATGTGGAAGATAATGACCCTGACTTCTGGCTCATTGGCTCAGTTTCTTAAGAGTTTTAGGTCACAGTGAGAATGAATATAGTTATAGAGAAAGGGAACCCCTACAAAAGCTAAGCCACAATATGATTACCTATTATGTTAAATTTAGAGGAAAACTAAAACCCAACAACTTTAACGTTCTACAAAATGTCAGGCTTGCCAGCAAAAAGTTTGATATTAATGTGATGCTGATATTAGCAGACATCTCTTCAGTACTTTGTTCAGGCAAAACTGTAATGACTCTTCAGCTCTCTTGAAAGATCTTGATCGTTCTGACAAATCTTTTGAAAATAATGAAACAAACCCAGGCAAGGATTTTGCTTTGCTTTGCCTAAATATGGATCAGTGGGAAGCTGGGCACTCGTTAGAGACTGCCTTTTCACATCTTGAGACTCGGTGGGACGAGTGCAAGGGAAGCATATTCATCATGTCAGAGATCAGCTCCTCCAACTTGTACCTGTGAAGTTAACACTTTGAGTTACGAGTCCTGCTTATTTTTTGCCCATAGGTGCTCGGTAGGAAGTTATTTTAACCCTATCTGCTTGTTCCTGCAGTGCAGTTGCTGAGTTGCAGCAGCTCTTTAGTCTGTCACTAAATAAGTCTCAGAGTTGATGGATTTTCTTTATGACTTTTCAAACTGCCTGGTAAGGCTGCTTTGGCTGCCAGTAGGATGTCCTGCCTACCCCCTGTGCTTATGTTCCTTGTTGGGATTTGGAGTTCTTTAATAAATGCTGTGATGAGGGAGTCTTATCTCACATTTTGTTATGTCGGTAATTCTTTGTCGTCTCATCGATGAAGGCTGGACTAGATAGATATTTTATATTGAAAAACTGTGGTTTTTTTAAAGTGAAGATTATTCCTCCTTAAAATAGAATTGGTTAATGGTGTTGCATGGTCCTGTTCATGTGTTCTTTAGGAAGATAACACAGTAAATGTCTTACGTGCTAGATTTCACTTGCTGCTGTAGAGGACCATTCTCTTTTATTTGGCTGGCATATTAGTGATTTGTAGTTATTCATTTCAGTGGGGTGATAATTTAAACTTGTGAATCAAAGACGTGCTAGGTATTTTGAAAGGAAACATGTTTGTCAGATATAAACAAACTCCAAAGAAATCCACTATGGCACAGTTACACGGGGTGACTGGTAGTGCCTTGTTATTTATTTGACCAGTGAAAACTGGAAACTTATTTACATTTATCCCTTAAAGAAGTTGCTTTTCTTTTAATAATAGTGAATGAAGAAAAGTTTCTTAAGAAATTTCTGATTCTTGTGGCTGTGGTGAAATACTTCTCTCCTGTGTGGTCCAGAGGTCTCCAATCTGGCTGAATGCTGGCCCTCAGTTTTCTTTCATTGTGGACAGTATTTGTTACTTACATATTACTTAGTGATTCTTTATATATTACTTGTGAGTATTGACTTCATTTGCAGCATGTGCTTTGGTCCAGGTCTATTTTTTTTGTCTATGTTTTTTTTTTCTTATTGCTTCTATTGATCTTTTCCAGTCTGTCTATGAGAAGGTAATGGTCTTTCAGCTCTTGATGCCAGTATGCAATTAATGCAAAAGGTGGTTATGTCATTATATTAAAATGTTAGTTTCTTTAAAGGTACAAACTGCTGAACTTAGTTGTGAAACCAGCTGCTCTACAATCTGTTCAGTGATAGACTAGGGTGATAGGCTTTTTTTCTTTTTCAGTTGAAAGTAGTTTTGCTGCTTCTGTCATCTAGGACTGAAATATAGCCAGCAGCCAGTTGTGGTCTTAAAGTGAGCTTTTGCTTGGAAATAAAAGGATTGCAGATAGTATGTAGGTCACTAATATGCACATGATAGAAGGGAAAGGAATGAAAAAAAGGATCATGAAAGTGTTTTAGAGAAGGTCAGTCTTCAGGATTGGGTAGTACAGCACTCATCAGTCTTTCATTGCTAATATTAACTCATTCATTTGCTGTCGAAATTGATTCATGAAGATATCTCTTCCCCTGTTAGTGGGGGGTGAGCTCTTATGCTACATCTTATACTGTATATTTATAGAAACATGGAAAAGAAATGAATTGCAAAGCAGGAATGGTCAACTTCTTCATTAAGTTGCCATAGACGTAAGTTAGAGGAAGGGTAAAAGGATGAGGAATAAAACACTTCAAATTCCTTTTTGTATAAGGGCACTGAGTCTCAGTACTTGTTTTTCTTCCCCAAGCTAGTTGGTTATTTGGCAACTGACTATCAGCTATTCTGAAATGGTGTCAGTCTTTGCAGGTTTTTTTTTCTTTATTTGCTTTCTTGTTGAATTTATTTGGTATAATCTTTTATTTTTATTAACGTGGCAAAGGATGAAAAACTTTAGAAACCTTGGAGAGCGAGAATGAGTGTTACATGCCTTCAGCAATGATAACTACTTTTGAAATGGAACTCATAGAGTAAGAATTGACCATGGTTTTCTTAACGGTGAAATACAGGAACATATGAGGAATTTGCATGAAAGTTAAGGGAATTTTAAGAAGCTTTATAATTGTTGACCGCTTGTTAACCAAACGTGGAAAGTTGTATTGGAAATCTTAGCTTTTGGTTCCTTATGTATTTTAAATAAAGGCTTCTAATTCTTCCGTGTGTAGCTTTTGCTTGTTCTCAAGTACAGGTTGCTTTGTTTGTTTGTTTTCCTCTAGTCTTTTTTTGCTGCTTGTTTCTGGTATCGAGTGTTGTTTGTCTATAGAGTTTGCTAGCCTCAAACTATTGTTGATACTGAACTCTGTCTCTTGGAAGGCATTAGCTTGGAAGCTCTTTATATAGCTAACATTGAGGAGTTAAGTAAACTGTAATGTGCTTTTCCTTAGACTGGCCTCATAATCTAAGGGAAAGCTGATAACATCGTTTCATCTTATCTTTATCTCCTTTCTGTGAAGAATAATCTTTATTTTATTTGCAGTAGGTTGTTTAGTGGGGATGGATACCCACTGTTCTCTTGTCTTACCATTAAATCTTATTGG